AACACACAAAGAAGTGGGCTGTTTCTATTTGGCCCAGGTGCTCGGCAGCTGTGAGCCAGCAAATGTGCAGTGAGGCAGCGGGCGCGCAGGCCCCTGTGTGTGAGGAGCTTCCAGCACGCCAGCTCCATCGGGGAGATCTGCGAGTGTTGGGGGCAACCAGCAGCAGGGTTCACTCATCCTGTCACCCTGTTAAAACAGAAAGGAAAATACAACTGGTTTAATCCCTTGCAGCAATACTCACTTGTAAAATAATACTGACTATCCGCAGGAATTTCAGTAGCTTGACCTGAGAGAGCAGGGACTCTGATGGCCTTCTGTCTTTCCTTAGCTCCTGTTTTACCTGATGCTCTCAATGTGGATATGAAAGGAGTTTAGGGATGCTTAAACTAAGTAGACTGAGATGAACGTAACTAGAGCCCTGTGTCGCTTCCCAGCCCTCCAGGCAGCTGGGATGGCTGCTGCCAGCCCTCAGCTCACATTGAGCGCTCAGGTGCCCGGGAACCTCGGGGGGCTGCCAAGACACTGCGTCGCTGTCGCGGACAGATCCCGCACTCCAACCTGGTGGCCACGGGCCAGGCTGCAGGCTCCACACTCTCTTAAAGTCTATAAAACTGCATTTTCCTCCCACTAAGAGGGAATTGACTTTCATGTTGTGTTGCTGTAAAAGGAACAGGAAAGCTAATGTTGTCTTCACACACCTTGTTTAATATGCTTTGTAAAAATATCCACCTGAGCTCACTGAGACAGTATTTAACAGGAATAAGAAAAAAGAAAAAAAGAGACCCCAGACCCCTTGGTTTAGCCTAGTAGGCTGAATGTCCTATTTATTCTAATCAAAATCCCAAACATTGCACTAACAGCCTGACCCTACCACCCAAGGGAAAAATCCTGGTATCCTTCCCTTTCTACCTGCAGCCTAAGATGGACAAAACCACACCACAGGGAGCAATGGGCAGGGAAGGAGCACACCTGGGAGTGCCCACAGCAAGCAAAGACTTTAGTCTGGCTCTCTGAGCTCTGCACCCACTTCACCTTTTACAAAAGCTTAATGTTTAGCTGTCGTAAATAAAGTTAATTCTGATTTGTAGAATTAAGTGACAAATCCTTGTGGCCATGGTATCAGCTCAGTAGAGCTCCAGCAGTTTACACCAGTGGAAGATTTGGCCCACAGTAGAAGAAAACAGCATGAAAAGAATATAGCAAATTGTCAAATTGACTAACGTGTTTGGTGAAGTAGGGAAAAGTGGGTGATAAAAACTTCCACATATTTCTTTCACCTTAGCAGTTGTAAAAGCCTGCAAGGTTTTCTGCCCCTTCTTGAGGTTCCTGTTACTGGTTTTGTGCTTCTATGCTGTGAAGGGCTGCTTCATGGTGCTACTCCTTATTTCAGGGGTGGCAACATATGGAGGCACTGCTTCTTGCTAAACGCCTCCCTGCCACTCTTTTTCATCATTCAACACGTTAATCTTCTCAAAAGGGGAAGCCTGGTTTTGTGGTTATAGTGCTAAACTAGGAGTCAAGCGTCTGCCACAGGTTCACTGTCTGACCACAGACAAGTCAACTCATTTCTCTGTGATTCAGTTTTCCACCCATAAAACAGGGATAATAATAGTCCTGTGCCTTTTCAGGGGTGAGTTGAGGATAACTTGCCTGCTCTTTAAGCAAGGTGTTTAGAGAGTAACTTCAAAGTAAAGCTAATAAACATGAAAATACAAGTCATCCTAGCAAAGCTCTGCCTGTGCATTTATAGTGGCTAGGCAAAAACATTTATATTTGTTAACATTTTTGTGACACAGTCTTCCCTTTCACGCTGCAGACCTGCATGACCTACAGCAGTCAGCAAGGGAGAAAAGTTTAAGTATCTTTTCTGATTAAAATTAAAAATAACAGCCCCTTTTGGAGCTTCTTCCCCTGCTCGCTGTAGACGAGCTGGTTGGCTCAGGGTGAGCTCGAGCCTGCCCACCCTGCCTTATTCTGTGCCAGCGAGACCTACATACAGGGCATAGAGACTTTGCACAAGATGCAGAGAGCTGGTTCTGACCTCGCCAGCTTAATGCAACCCTTGCTGTGTGCACTTCAGAGGAGCTATTTACCTGTGCAGGGGTCTGCGGGGACGTGGGGGTTGCACTGCCAAGGTTGCACGCCAAGCAGGTAAAACACCAGAGCCAGGAGAGCAGCATCTGGCAGGTCGGAGGGGAAAGCAGCGTGTAAGGAGGTCAAGCGTCACATGGGTGCATGGAGTTAACAGCAGAAAATGTCTGAACTGAATCTGAAGTTAGGAATAAATTACATTGCGGGGTATGTGTTTGGAAGGATCTCGTTCTTGGCTCCACAGGCCCTTTGCTTCAACCTGCTGAAGCTTAAAATACTTCAAATGCATGAGGTGTTTTACATATGTACACATTTGGTGTGACTCTGTGTGTTTGCATTCAACTCCAGTGTCATGAGCCAAAGGCTTGAGACAGCGTCCAGATTTGCACTGCTGACGAATGAAGCGTTTGCTCTTGACCAACCAGAATTTCAGATAAAAGTATTTTTCATCTTTCATCTCTCTCACTTTTTTTTTGAAGCCCTAGTGGGTCTCTTTAATGGTGAAACCACTTCTGTATAACATGTCTTTTTATATTTTAATTTTTTCTTCTTCTTGGGATAATTTATAGCACAGTGTGGAATCTGAGACAGTTCAAGCTGTGCCAAAGGGCCTGGCAACAGGAAGAAAAGCTGAGCCACTGTGATTTAGAACCATAATGCAAGTTATAAAACTTAATTTTAGAAATTCAGCTACTGGGAACTGCTTTTAAATGTACATTTTCCTTTTAGTATATAAAATGTTTCTGTGTCTTGATTAAACTATTAAGGTGGTGTGAAAGAGTGCTCTGTAGAGTAAGGGGCATGCAGAGTTTTTCCAAGGTGATTTGCTACTTATTCACTGATATACAAAATTGGCAACTGGACTTATGCAGATGTTTATATATTAATGCTGTGGGAACATGTGGAATAGGGCTTTGTGGATTATTAAAGTGGGTACTCGCCACAGGAGGAGCAATGACCACCTCTGCAGACGGAGGAGGGAAATGCAGAGACACCCACAAAAGGCAGCTATTTGTGACAAATAAATGAAAATTAGGAGCAGTTAGATCCTGTGGTATAAAGAGAGACTGCAAATAATGTTGCCTTCTTCAGCCAAATAGGTAGAAATAAAGATGTCATCTTGTTTGACCTCTGGGGTAGAGATTTGACCTACATTCACTTATGGGGAATATTCTCCTTCTGTATAGGAAGAAAGGGGAAGGGATAAGCCACAAAAATTCACAAAGCAATTGATTTGTTGGAATAAATGGAAAGTGTAGAAATGAGATTGGGTTTGGGGTAAAAAAAAAAGAGGGAAGATGACATCCACTGCTCCATAAGAAGGTCCCCAAGTGGAAGGTGCCCAAAATGACACTTTTGGAGCCAGGGATCCAAGTGCATTGATTAAACATAGGTGGGGTCTGTGAGTTTCCTCGCAGATTCGTTACAGTCAGTATCTTGCCTTCCATTTGGAGAGGGCTTCTTTAAAGGATAACTTGTTTTTCAGAGGTGATCCATTTGTGGTCTTTCTGCTTAAACCAATGAACAAGGGGCTGGTTCCAGTGATATTTTAGGAAAAAAGTCCACTTAGGGGGTAAAAAAAAAAAGTATCAAGGGGAATTTTGATTGCACCTAGTTGGGATCAGGCTGAAATATCTCATTCCAGACATTTCACCAAACAGAAGTCTGTGAGGGAAATTTCTATTTTGACCCTAAAACATGGTGTCAGCAGATGTCCAGGATAAGATATGCTAATGATGAAGGATATCTTATAAAACTGAAAACCACAAGACACAAAAGTGCTTTGCAAAATGGTGACAATAGGTTAACTTTTAAGAGGTATTTGTAGGGGCAGAGAGAAAGCAAAAAAAATAAAGTTGTGCTTTCATGTTGCCTGCTGGAGAGCAAGATGGAGATTAGATGAGGCATCCTTCCTCTATGTCGTATACTCACTTTTTGTGGTTACTGAACAGCAGGGCATTTTATAACAGGGACACTCACAAAGGATCCCAGAGCACAGGCATGAGTCAGAAATTTACTTCCTTATCCTTTTTATGTTGCTTATTGCTGTTGGAGCTTATCTTGAAAACTGTCCAACCCATAGTGAGAGATGTCTCTACCACTCCACCTCGATCCAGACATGGTCTGGAGGTGCTTGCTGGGCTGGATGCGTGCCTTTCCATGCCTTCTCCATCCCTTGGCACTCTTGAGGCCATGGTGCCAGAGCTTCACAGGCAGCTGCAAGGGGCTGCCCTTGGGGAGTGTTGGGCCCTCTAACTCCCACACAGCAGTGGCCAAGAGTACTGTAAGGTCAGTGTTTGTCCTCGTACCGTAGGAGGCACAGTCGCACCTCATTTTTTGATAACTCCACACACCTTGAAAAGAAACTTACTTTTCCCACAGTTTCAATCCTGCCAGTTTCTCTCTATAAATTCATTGCTAAATGATTCAAAATTTCAATTTGTTTAGATGTGTTATTTTATAGCATCGTAGTACTTACCAAAGTACCACACGTTATCACCATCTGGGATTGAATTTTTAATGTTTCTCCTGTGCAGGTGTAGCCCAGGGCCCACTGAAAAAGCTTCCTCTTTTTATCCATCTGGCCAGAGCTTCCCCCTTTTAAAAAAATGTTTCTTCCCCCGCTATGACGTATAAGAGAGGAGTGTGCAATTTCCAGTAGATCTGTTTTTCTAGAGCAGGCCATGTCCTGTAGAAGGTGGCCTTCCCTGTGCTACGGTTACAATGCATGACTTGTTTGTATCTCCTATTCTTGTAGAGCTATCACTCAGTTTAATTTCAGACATCCACTAGCTGGTTAGGCGCCTCGCCAGGGGATTGGGATAAGAAAAAACAGTCAACCGACTTCGTATGTGAGCCATATTCTTCAGTGAGATTTTCTCATCTTTTTCCCCCCCCTCCCACAATAGGACATCGTCAGAAAATAGATGAGCAGACAAAGCCCGGCAGCTTGTCCTTTTCAGAGCGCCTGAGTGAACTGGAGCAGTTGCGTCGTACGGCCATGAGGGTCAGCCCACATCACCCAGCCCCCACACCCAACCCGCGAGCTTCCTTGAACCACACCACTGCTTTTAACCCTCAGCCTCAGAGTCAGATTCAGGGTAAGTACCCGAACTCCCCGCCTCGCTCGCCCGGCAGCGCCCGTGCAGTCCGCAGAGCTTGGCGCCCCCGCGGCGCTCACCCCGTCACCTCCCGCTTCTCCCAGGCTCTTGCAGCAGCCCCAGGACATGGTGGTAGCAGCCAAGGTGGTAGCACGGCGGGCAGAGCTGCCCGAGTGGAGCATCGGTGTTGACCTTTATGGTCCGCAAACACAACCGTAACCGTGGCAGGGTAGGAGGCCGAGCGAGGGAAAGCCACGGGAGCAGATTCTCTCCTTTCCCTTATGCCATCTGGGGAGGTGGGAGGAGAGCAAGGAGGGGCTTCGTTGGAGATGTCTGCATTTTTATAAATCCAACAGCTTTTAAGGGGTATGTCATGCCTCATTTTTGCCTTGTCAGAACAGTTCATGGTGGTAACCTCAAATACAGCAGAACTGTAGTGCTTCAAGTCTTTGTTTTCTTGCAAAGATACCATATTCCAGAATTTTTCTGTATGTGTCAGAATATTTCCTGATGGATATTCACCAAGTCACTGTGTACTTGAATGAGAGAGAAATACTTTCCATGGCTTGTTTTGATTTTTCCCAGGAAGGCAAGAGCAAAGAAAGCTTTTCAGAGTGTCTTGCCACATGAAGGCAGCCACTTGGAGCTAAGTATGGACAGGCTGGTTTGGATGTATTTCTGTTGCCAATAGTCAATTTTGTTCAAATGAAAACCTGCAAAATGGTGACTCAGGAGTCAAATTTTCTCCAAGGTGCAGGATCAGATGATGTTAATGAAAGCAAGCAATAGTCTAAGATCTTACCTGCTGGATTTGAGAGTGTCACTGCTAAGATCCGGTCTTTCAGTGAAACCAGCTGACGCACAGTGAGCAGTGACTCAGATCTCTAAACTATCAGGTAGTATGTATTTTGCAGAATATATTATCAACATGCAGATGAATAATGAAATGCATCTAAAGTGCATGTAAAGGACAGTATTTGTTTTTTTTTGAGAGCTGTTCCTCATAGAGTTTTGCTTTATTCTTCCTGCCAGAAGGAAATTATCTTAATCTAGGTTCTCTGCTGGTGTTTTGGAAAGAACCAGTTACCATGAAGTGGAATCAGTATTTTTGTCAGCATTTATTTTAAAATCAGGATACTCTTTGCTGCATACCGGAAAAGGTGTTGCTTACATAATGCAATGCTTGTTGCATCTTTTTATTTCCAGGGCTAACAAGTTATTTGGCCTGGTAAAGTCTACTGCAAATGTGCAGTTAACTTCACTGCAAGTAGATGTGGGCATTTTTGAAAAGTGTGGGAAATAAATCAACATGTTCTGTATGGTACAGCAAAAAGAGGCATCCACGAGACTTAGAAGGACCACTCGGGTCCTTTCCTTCCTGGAACAGTGCCAGGTTGCTCAGGCAAAGAATCTCATTCCACATATACAACTCCTGACAGTCCCCTCACTTAGTTTGCTAATTTGTGGAGTGAACCAAGTGGGATTTCTCCCACATTTCTCATGCACAGATCTGTTCCTCTAAAGAAAAATGCATGTATTATTATAGCTACTCAGCAGTGAGCGGCAACGTGGGTGGAGGCACTAGTTGCAGACTTGCATTCTTCAGCTTCCTTGGAACACT